GGTGCTGCGATTGTACAAAACACATGGAATTGTGACAGAGAGGAGAAGATACTACACGAGTGTATTGTATTGTGACACTAGTGTATTGTATTGTGACACTAGTGTATTGTATTGTGACACTAGTGTATTGTATTGTGACACTAGTGTATTGTATTGTGACACTAGTGTATTGTATTGTGACACTAGTGTATTGTATTGTGACACTAGTGGTGGTGTATACGAGCGGCTAGAACACTAAGGTAAGCCAGCCAGACGGAGAAGCCTAGAGAGGGAAGTAGGAAGGAGAAGCGGGAGCGGGACAGAGAATGAGGAAGGCTAACGTCTCATCCCAATCGCCCCGTCATGCCTCCCATTTCCCCCGTCCCTGCGTCCTTCCCCGTCTCCTCCCATTTCCCCCGTTTCTGCATGTTTCCTCATCTCCTCCTATCTACGACATGAGCCTTCACAGATGTGCTCCCATCCCATCCCATCCCATCCCATCCCATCCCATCCCATCCCATCCCATCCCATCCCATCCCATCCCATCCCATGCGCATCCAATCCAATTCCCCCGTGCATCATCAGAAGCACACAACCCCCGAGAGTGCTTTGCGTCGAATCAAAAGTCACACCGTTACAATGGCACGCGACAATATCCAAATCCCCAGTCATTGTGTGTGTGTGTGCGTGTGTGCGCGCGCGCGCGCGCGCGTGTGTGTGTGTAGGGGGGGAGGGGGGGGGGTGCGTGCGTGCATGTGTGTGAGTGTGCGCGCGCGCACGCCCACCAGAAGTACACAACTCGCAGAATGGCATCATCCACTGCCCTTCCTCCTCCTCCCCCATCCGTCCCTCCCCCATCGGCCATGAGTCCACACAGAGCTGATCCCACGCCTCCCCCAACCCTCTATTAAAAGCCATCACGTGTGTGCTCACACTCGGTGTGTTTTGAGTCGACTCAAAACACGTGTGTGCTCACTCACACTCACCAGAAGTAGTCTGACGAAGGCTTCTACGCCGTCACGAAGTGGTGTTCCTAAAGCCATCACGTGTGTGCTCACTCACACTCACCAGAAGTACACAATTCGTAGAATGGCATCATCCACTGTCCTCCCTCCTCCTCCCCCATCCACCATTAGTCCGCACAGGTTCTCCCACGCTGCCCTCAGCTCCCGGTCAAACTGGTCAACGCGGTCAGCATGGCGCACAGTGCGGATGGATAGCTCGAGGGAGAACTGGGATGACCTGGAATGGGAAGGGAGGGATGTAGAGGGAAGGAGAGAGACTGTGTGTTGCAGTCAAACTGGTCAACACGGTCAACATGGCGCATGGTGCGGATGTGGATGGAGAGCTCTAAAGAGTAATTAGACGAGCTGGGATGGGAAGAAGGGAGGTGGGGGTGGGGAGAAAAATGAGACTGTTGCAGTCAAAGTGGTCAAACGGGTCAACGCGGTCAACGTGGCATGTTGTGCGGATGGAGAGCTCGCGAGAGTAGTGAGACGAGCTGGAATGGGAGGGGATGGGAAGAAGAGGGAATGAAGGTGGGAGGGTGTGGGAGAAAGCAAATGCACGTGTGCCCAGTTTAGCCGGTCGAAACCCTGAATGGGAATGGAAAGTAGGAGGGAAGACAAGTTGGTCAAACTGGTCAAAGCGGTCAATGCGGCGCGTCGTGCAGATGGAGAGCTCGAGAGAGATGAAACGAGATGAGCTGGAATGGGAAGGGACGGGAGGTGGAGGTGAGGAGAGAAGGGGAGTTGGTCAAACTGGTCAACAGAGGTCAACGTGGCTGGTGCAGATGGAGAGCTCGGGAGAGAAATGGGACGAGCTGGAATGGGAGTGAAGGGTTGTTTGCAGAGGGAATAGAAACTGTGATCGATATTTGAGGAGCCCCAAAAGGTGTTTGCGAGGGAAATGGCTGTGGGTGATGAGAACAGGGAGATGGCTGTAGGGAGAAAGGGACTGAGTTGCAGTCAAGGCGGTCAGAATGGTCAAACTGGTGAAAGTGGTCAAACTGGTGAAACTGGTCAAACTGGTCAAACTGGTCAAACTGGTCAAATTGTTCAATGTTTCATATTGCGCGGATGAGAAGCTTGAGAGAGCAATTAAGAGAGATGAAAAGAACTGGTGGTGGTGGGGTCAAGAGACTGTGTGTAATGCGGTCAAGTCGATCAAACTGGTCAAAGCGGTCATGGTAGCGTGCGTGCTGCGCGGGATCAAGAAATTTGAAGGGGGGCTGTAGAGAGAGCACAGCACCCTGCGTGAATCATGATGTATGCGTGTTATGGTAGGAGTGCATTTTATAAAGGGTACAGGAAGGGCACTCACACTTCCCGGATGAGGATCTCTGTACCGTTGAACACCATGCTGTGTGGATGAGGATGAGGGGATGGAGAGTTGAGCAAGGGAAGGAAAGAGGAGGGCATTGAGAGGAGGGAGGGACGAATTGAGGAACCTCAAGAAGAACTCGCACCTCCCGGACGAGGATCTCTGTGCCATTGATCACCATGATCACCATGCTGTGTGGAGGAGGGTAGGGGGTTGGAGAGAGGGAAGGGATGGTTGGTGAAGGAGGAGTAACTAATGTGTAACGGGTACTACGACGTCTCAAAGGCGATTCGGATGAGGACCTCTGTGCCGTTGAGCAGCAAGCTGTGCGGAGGAGGAAGAGGGGATGGAGAGAATGGGAGGATGGGAGAGAGGCTGAGGCGTGAGGCAGTGGCAGCACAGAGAGAAGAACCCGACTAGGAAGATTGTAAGTGTCATGGAGTGGTACAAAGTGGTATGAAGTGGCACCGACAGATTCTTTTATTGTAGAAATGTAACGTATGGCATTTGCTATGAATTATCGAAACACACAAGGAGCATACGTACCCAGGAGTGGCTGCAGAGTGGCAGGGAAGGGGTCACTCACATGGCAATGAAGCTTTGGCTCACAAAAGATGGGGCGGGTCAAAGGCAATTCTTTCATGGGTTAAAAGGAAGACAAGAAACACACGTACCCAGGAGGTCGTTTTTGAGGCGCCTCAAAAACGACCTCAATTTCCTCATGGGTTAAGAGAAACACAAGAAACACAACAACACACGTACCCAGGAAACGCCGCAGAGTGGCATGGAGTGACAACAAAGAAGCTTTGCCCGACAATGTCAAACAGATGGTACTCCGTTGCTGCTGCCTCTACCTGTGGCAGGGCCATATGTGGTGATGTAACACGGGGATGTGGCACGGGGATGTGGCATGGGGATGTGGCACGGATGGAGGAAAGGAACGAAAACACACGAAGAAACCTCTGATAGACAAGTCCAAACGGATCGTATGTGCTGTTGCTGCTGCGTGGATGAATGAGGCATGCACCAGAGCGGGTGCGATGGGGCATGGGTGGGAATGGCATGGCACTGGTGGGAATGGCATGGCACGGGTGGGAATAGCATGGCACGGGTGGGAAAGGCATGGCATGGGTGGGAATGGCATGGCACGGGTGGGAGTGGCATGGCATGGGTGGGAATGGCATGGCACGGGTGGGAATGGCATGGCATGGGTGGGAATGGCATGGCACGGGTGGGAATGGCATGGCACGGGTGGGAATGGCATGGCACGGGTGGGAATGGCATGGCACGGGTGGGAATGGCATGGCACGGGTGGGAATGGCATGGCATGGGTGGGAATGGCATGGCACGGGTGGGAATGGCATGGCACGGGTGGGAATGGCATGGCATGGGTGGGAATGGCATGGCACGGGTGGGAATGGCATGGCATGGGTGGGAATGGCATGGCACGGGTGGGAATGGCATGGCATGGGTGGGAATGGCATGGCACGGGTGGGAATGGCATGGCACGGGTGGGAATGGCATGGCACGGGTGGGAATGGCATGGCATGGGTGGGAATGGCATGGCACGGGTGGGAATGGCATGGCACGGGTGGGAATGGCATGGCACGGGTGGGAATGGCATGGCATGGGTGGGAATGGCATGGCACGGGTGGGAATGGCATGGCATGGGTGGGAATGGCATGGCACGGGTGGGAATGGCATGGCATGGGTGGGAATGGCATGGCACGGGTGGGAATGGCATGGCACGGGTGGGAATGGCATGGCACGGGTGGGAATGGCATGGCATGGGTGGGAATGGCATGGCACGGGTGGGAATGGCATGGCATGGCTGGGAATGGCATGGCACGGTTGGGAATGGCATGGCATGGGTGGGAATGGCATGGCACGGGTGGGAATGGCATGGCACGGGTGGGAATGGCATGGCATGGGTGGGAATGGCATGGCATGGGTGGGAATGGCATGGCACGGGTGGGAATGGCATGCACGGGTGGGAATGGCATGGCACGGGTGGGAATGGCATGGCACGGGTGGGAATGGCATGGCACGGGTGGGAATGGCATGGCATGGGTGGGAATGGCATGGCATGGGTGGGAATGGCATGGCACGGGTGGGAATGGCATGGCACGGGTGGGAATGGCATGGCACGGGTGGGAATGGCATGGCATGGGTGGGAATGGCATGGCATGGGTGGGAATGGCATGGCACGGGTGGGAATGGCATGCACGGGTGGGAATGGCATGGCACGGGTGGGAATGGCATGGCACGGGTGGGAATGGCATGGCACGGGTGGGAATGGCATGGCACGGGTGGGAATGGCATGGCATGGGTGGGAATGGCATGGCACAGGTGGGAATGGCATGGCATGGGTGGGAATGGCATGGCACGGGTGGGAATGGCATGGTATGGGTGGGAATGGCATGACAATTTTGAGGCGCCTCAAGAATCATGCACCAGAGGGGGTGCATGGGGCATGGGTGTGAGTAAGGTGTGATGCGCCATGGGTGCAATGAGTGCTATGCGAATTTCCAGGGTTGGTTGGTAAGCAGAAGCGGGGACGAAAAAGACGGAGCCTCAAAAAGCTACCTCTCAATCCCATGCAGATTTCCATGGTTGGGAAGCAGCAGCGGAGAGGAAATATTTGTTAGGCACCTCGAAATCCGCGTGCATTGAGGTGCTTTTTGAGGCGCCTAAAAAAGTTACCTCTCAATGCCATGCAAATTTTCAAGGTTGGTGAGCAGCAGTGGAGGAGAGAGAACAGTTTGGCATGGCTGTGTGCCGGCACACCCACTAGGCTGAAACTGATGCCATGTGTGTTTCAGAATTCAAGAAAGAAAGAAAGAAAGAAAGACAGAACGAAAGAAAAACCCTAACCATCCATTCGTCACTCACCCTGGCGACTTCCCGCTTTGAGAGGGGAATGCGCAGGTCATCCACATTGGAGAACACATGATGCTGCTGCTGCATGTAGCTCTTGAGCACTGAGAGGGTCCTGATGAGGATGGGGAGGGGGAGGGGAGGGGGAGGGCAGTGGTGGGCGATGGGATTTAAGGGGTGCTGACTCCACATGCTGCTGCATCATGCTCTTGAGCACTGAGAGGGTTCTGATGGGAAGGGAGAGAGCAGAGCAGGCATGAGGTGAATGTTTGTGAGCACATGGTGGTGCTGCTGCATCATGCTCTTGAGCACTGAGAGGGTTCTGATGGTGGTGGGAGAGAGAGAACGGGCATAAGGTGAATGTTGGAGAGCACATGGTGGTGCTGCTGCATCGTGCTCTTGATCACAGAGAGGGTTCTGATGGGGATGGGGATGGGGACGGGGAGGGGGAGGGCAGGCGTGGGGGATGCTTTCTGCGAGCAGGAGGCATGCGGTGAATGCATTGGCTGTCCTGGGCTTGGAGAGCACATGGCGCTGCTTCTGCTGGACCGAGAGGGCTTTGATTGGGAAGAGGGGAGCAGGAATGTGTCATAGCTGTGAGTGAGTTCTACAGGGTCAGTCAGACAGACAGAGAGACATCATGCAGCTGATTCACGATGCTCTTGGGGACTGAGAGGGCCTTAGTTGGGAAGAGGGGTGCAGGAATGTGTCATAGCTAGCTGTAAGTGAGTTTCACAGGGTCAGTAAGACAGACAGGCAGGCATGATGTTGTTGACTTGTGTAGGGTTGACTCGTGCAGAGCAGCATGGCAGTACGACGGTTTGCATCCGACAGAAGCTTGTACAGAAATCTGAATCCCAAGATACTCGTTACAGTAGTCTGCATCTCAGCACACCTGTTATAGTAGTCTGCATATTTGGTGGTGAGTTGGCGGAACACAGAAATTGGAGTCACAGAGTTCCCCACCAGAGAGGGGTCAGCGCTCCTGCACATGCAGGGGAGAGGTAGGGGGAAATGACGAAAATGGGGGGCATTGAGGGGCGGAGGGGAGCTTGCAGGGAGTGGCGAAGAGTGGTGAGGAGTCAGGAACGGAGAGGGGGAAGTGAGGGAAGGAGAGGACGTATTTGGTGGTGAGTTGGCGGAACACAGAAATTGGAGTCACGGAGTTGCCCACCAGAGAGGAGTCAACGCTCCTGCACATGGGGGTTGGGTGGAAGGAGATGAAGAGTGGGTTGCAGGTAGTCACTACATAACCTCTCATCATTAACTTGAACCCAACCGCACCGCACCGCACCTCAGCGTTTCCATCCAAACCACCGGCTCGCATGGGTCCACCAGCTGCCTCCTCCTCGCACCAAAGCCTCTTTCACAATCAACTCACACCCAACCGCACTGCACCTCACCTGACCCTCTCCATCCAAACCACCGGCTCGCATGGGTTCAACAGCTGCCTCCATCTCCCACCAATGCCTCCCTCCCGGGAACCACAACCACAACTCGTCTCCCCCCAAACCGCACTGCACCTCACCTGACCCTCTCCATCCACAAGACAGGCTCGCATGGGTCCACCAGCTGCCTCCACCTCACACCAATGTCAAACACCCCTCTCCACCCATCCACAACCATCCCCACCCCCTCCTCCTCCTCTTCCTCCTCCTCATCATCATCATCCTCCTCCTCATCCTCCTCATCTTCCTCCTCCTCCTCTTCATTTTTCCTTGGATCTGCAGCTCTCCTCCCCTCCGTCAGTCCATGCTTGTGCTTTCTCTTGGCCCACCACCGCCACGTGGCACGTGCTGATTGCATGACTTCTAGGGCTGCCATGCCCGCTGCCCTGTGCTGCCATTTGGGAAACAACAGGGTGAACGGGGGATGACGGCAGGTGAAGAGCGGTGACGAGGAGTAAAAGGATTTGCAAAGGAGTGAATGGACGCGTGCTGATTGCATGACTGCCAGCGCTTCCATGCCCGCTGCCCTGTCAGTGCTGCGGTTGGGTGAAACAATGACGGGGTTGAAGAGCGGTGATAAGGAGTGAGGAACACACGGGGGTGAAGAGCGGTGATAAGGAGTGAGGAACACACGGGGGTGAAGAGCGGTGATACGGACGGAGTGAGGAGAGCTCCATAGGAGTGGACGACTCGTGCTAATTGCATCAATTTCAGTGTTGCCCTCTGCTGCCAGTTGGCAAGTGAAAAGGGAAAGAGGGGTAAACAGCAGAAAATAGAGATGTGACAAGGAGTAACGGGAGTTGCACAGGAGTGCTGATTGCATCAATTTCAGTCAGCGCTGACAGGCCCGCTGCCTGCCTGGTGGTGCTTTTTTAAGGCGCCTCAAAAGTCGTCTCAATTTCAGCGCTGCCAGGCCCGCTGCCTGAAGGTGAGGTGCTGCCAGCTAGGAAAACCGACGGGATGAGAGGGGTGCGGGGGTTAAACGTCAGCTGATGAGAGGTGACGAGGAGTGAAGAGAGTTGCGCAGGAGTGACTGGAAACGCGTGCTGATTGCACACACCGAAGCGATTTCGGCAGCGCCTCAATCGTTTAGGCAATATTGCTGGCGCCTAAGAAATGAAAGCTAAAAAAACATGAGGCGCCCATATAATTGCCTCCAAAACAGTTTTGACTGCTCAGAAGGTTGCAAGCCAGCTCGGCTGCACTACACTCACCATAACCCGCGTGAACTGAGATGGTTTTTTAGGCGTCTAAAGACGGTTGGTTGCAAGCCAGCTCGGCTGCACTGCACTCACCAAAACCCGCGCTGGCTGGCGATTTCAGCTGGCCGGTTCAGCTGAACTGAGACGGTTTTTTAGGCATCTCAAAAAGGTTGCAAGCCAGCTCGGCTGTACTGCACTCCCAAAACACCAAGTCGACCCCCCCAACCACCCTCCCCCTCTCGTCCCCCAATCGATTACAAGTCTCAGAGCTTCCTTTCTCTTGCATCAGTCCCCCAACCACCATCGCTTACTGCTGCTCTCCCATTGACGACATTGCCAGCACCGCTGTACTGCATGCCCCCGAACTCAAACACCCAGTCAACTGCAGCAAGGCAAACCCTCAATCCCTCTTCTCCCACAACCATTGCTCACCGCTCGCCTGTTCACGACGTTGCCAATGCTGCTGTACTGCACGCGCCCACCAATCAGGTCCGCCGCCCCAAAACCAGGCGTTCTCCCCTTCTCATCCTCCATCTCACCCCTTCTCTGCTATCCAGCACCCCTCGCTCACCGCTCGCCTGTTCACAACGTTGCCAGCACTGCTGTACTGCACGCGCCCACCAATCAAATCAGCCGCCCGAACCACCCTCGCCCTCTCCCTCTCGTCCTCCTCTGCCGCCCGTCGAGGCGGGCGGCCGGGAGCAAACGCGGCAGCCTGGGGCAGCATGGTGTAACCGGGAAAGAGGTTTCTCGGATCCTTCTTGTATGCCCAGTGGTTCTGAAGGGGGTGGAAGAAACGGCGAGATAGGCAAGAAATGGGAAGGGTGAGGAGATGGGGTGAAAGGGACTAGAAGGGGTAAGGGGAAGGAGGCTAGAGACAGGGAACCGCATGGCATAGCCGGGAAAGACTCGGATCCTTCTTGTATGCCCAGTGGTTCTGAAGGGGATGGGGTGGAGGCGTATGGGGCACAAAGGGGACAATAAGGGTAAGGAGGTAGGCGGCAGCCTGGGGCAGCATGGCATAGCCGGGAAAGAGGTTTTTCGGATCCTTCTTGTACACCCAGTGGTTCTGAAGGGGGTGCGGATAGATGGGTCAACAGGGAACAGACGGCTGCTGGGAGATGAACGGAAACAAGAGTCACAGCTAGGGACAGGTGCATGGCATAGCTCAGAGCAAGTGTTTTTGGATCCTTCTTGTACGCCCACTGGTTCTAAAAGAGGGTTGGGTGAGATGGGCGGCAGGGAACATGTAGGGGCAGGAGGAGACAGGACGGGTAAGCGGAAAGGCAGGGGAGCAAGAGAAGCAGCAGGGGGCAGCATGGCATAGCCGGGAAAGAGGTTTGTCGGATCCTTCTTGTACGCCCAGTGGTTCTGAAGTTTGAGGGGATAGGAGAGGAAGGGTATGAAGACAAAAAGTGAACAATTGAGGGCAGCAGGGGGCAGCAAGGCACAGCCAGGGAAGATGCTACTTGGGTCCTTCTTGAACGCGTAGTGGTTCTGAAGGGGTTGTGGGAATGGGGTGAAAAGGGCAGGGGACAGGAAGGGTGAGGGGTACGAAAAGGAGCAAGCAAGAGAAGCAGCATAACAAGACAACATGAGATGGTGTGGAAGAGGGTTTCTCGGGTCCTCCTTTTGATTGATTGCAGGCTGCATCTTACAATTCTGAAGGTTGTTCCTTAGCGAGGTTATTTCTTAAAATTCTCAAGTTTGTTTCTGAGAATCCTCACAGCTGCTTTTCATAATTTTCAAGGTTGCTTGTGAAATTTCTCAAAAACAAGCTGCAAAAAAACGGTGTAGAAGAAGAGGTTCCTTGGGCCCTCCTTGTGGGCCGATTTGAAGTCGAGTCCAGTGGTTCTGAAGCAATGGATTTGAGAGCTGGAGCAACGGCACAGGGGGAAACGCATAGCAATACCTAAGAGAAATAATGAAAGAAAAGCTATCGTTGCTCAGCCACTTACCATGATTGAGTTTCATCTGCCCCCACACCAAGTTGGTTCCTCAGAAATTGACAAAACGTTTTCCGTTGCCGGGACTTGAACCCGGGTCTCTCGGGTGAGAGCCGAGTATCCTAACCGACTAGACTACAACGGATGTTTACAAATCCACATGAGCAAACAAGGGACGTTACAAGCGCTAAAACGGCACATGTTACCTCAAGCTGGGCCCTTGGAGTTTTCACTTTCTCACCACCTCCCTCCCTTACCCATGCCCGTTACGTGCCCTCGCCAGGAAGCTTAGTGCTGAAAGAAGTCTTCAATGGAGAAGTAGCTGAAGGAGAGAGGTGTGGAGATGTGTTTGTGAAAATGGGAATCCCATCCTACCTCCACGCCCTCTCCCCTCAGGACGCCCTCACCAGGAACTTGGTGCTCAAGGCGCCTTCAATGGAGTAGTCGCTGAAGGAACTCTCGAGGATCGCTAACAGTCTGCATGCCCTCACTGTCTGCATGCCCTCACTGTCTGCATGCCCTCACTGTCTGCATGCCCTCACTGTCTGCATGCCCTCACTGTCTGCATGCCCTCACTGTCTGCATGCCCTCACTCTCTGCATGCCCTCACTCTCTGCATGCCCTCACTGTCTGCATGCCCTCACTGTCTGCATGCCCTCACTCTCTGCATGCCCTCACTCTCTGCATGCCCTCACTCTCTGCATGCCCTCACTCTCTGCATGCCCTCACTCTCTGCATGCCCTCACTGTCTGCATGCCCTCACTGTCTGCATGCCCTCACTGTCTGCATGCCCTCACTGTCTGCATGCCCTCACTGTCTGCATGCCCTCACTGTCTGCATGCCCTCACTGTCTGCATTCCCTCACTGTCTGCATGCCCTCACTGTCTGCATGCCCTCACTGTCTGCATGCCCTCACTGTCTGCATACCCTCACTGTCTGCATACTCGCACCATCTCCCCCTCAGGACGCCCTCACCAGGAACTTGGTGCTGAAGGCGCCTTCAATGGAGTAGTCGCTGAAGGAGCTCTCGAGATGCATTGCCGTTAATGTGGCGATCTCACGCTGCGAGGGATGTGAAAAGAGAGGCGACAAGGGAAGGGAAACGGAGAGAGGGACATGGGGATTGGACCTAATGAACTAGGTGGGAAGCATTGCCGTGAGTATGGCAATCTCACACTGGCGAGGGATGTGAAAAGATAGGAGAAACGGGAAGGGAAACGGAGAGGACATAAAGATTTGAGACATCTAGGAACTTGACATCACGCTGAGACAAAAGTAGTGGACTGGAATGGAAGAGGAAGGTTGAAAGAGCAGAGAGAAGGGAAAGAGTGGGAAGGGACGTAGACGCACAGGAGAAATAGTCACCTGAAAGTCACCTGAAAGTCACCTGACAGTCACCTGAAAGTCACCTGACAGTCACCTGACAGTCACCTGATTATGAACTCTTAGTAATTTCCTGGAAGCCACCTGGTAATCCGAGGCAACCACCTGATGATTTCCTGGAAAGCACACAGCACTCCCCAAGCTTACCTGGTGGAAGGCGTGGTTTTTTTGAGACGTCTCAAAAGCACACAGCACTCCTGAAGCCTACCTGGTAGAAGGCGTGGCAGAGGATGGGCGCATCTTGAGGGTCGGATGGGGTGCCATGCAGATCACCTGAAAAGCTATCTATCTACAGAAGCCACCCAGGGTAGCTCCCTACAAGGCATCTACCACTCCCCACCGCAGCTTACCTGGTAGAAGGCGTGGAAAAGAATGGGAGCATTCTGAGGGTTGGATGGGTTAGAAGGCGTGGCAGAGGATGGGCGCATCTTGAGGGTCGGTTGGGTTGGAAGCCACCAATACGGTGGGTGGTGATACATGGTGGTAACCCTATACAGCATCTACCACTCCCCACCGCAGCTTACCTGGTAGAAGGCGTGGAAGAGGAAGGGAGCATCTTCAGGGTCGGATGGGGCATCAATGATGCGAGTGAAGGCAGATACCTGCACAGTGGTGTGCGGTGGAGGGTGGTGATGGATGATGGTGATGGGCATGAGTGCAGGGGCATATGTGAAGGGACATGTGTGCGTATGGGTATGTGGGTGTGGGTATGTGGGATTAAGCATGGGTGAATGGGCATGGGTGAATGGGCATAGTTGAATGGGCATAGTTGAATGGGCATAGTTGAATGGGCATGGGTGAATGGGCATGGTTGAATGGGCATGGTTGAATAGGCATGGTTGAATGGGCATAGTTGAATGGACATAGTTGAATGGGCATAGTTGAATGGGCATAGTTGAATGGGCATAGTTGAATGGGCATAGTTGAATGGGCATAGTTGAATGGGCATAGTTGAATGGGCATAGTTGAATGGGCATAGTGGAATGGGCATAGTTGAACGGGCATAGTGGAATGGGCATAGTTGAACGGGTATAAAACTTACAGCATGTGCCATGTGCCCCAGAGACTGGCGACAGCAGCCCAAGGCGAGATGCTCCTCGGGTTGGGGGTGCTGGGGGGATTGAGCTGTGAACTCTGAAAACCATCAACCTGACAGCAGCCCAGGCTTGACCCATGCACAGTGCCACACTCACCGCGTGTGCCATCCATGTGCCCAAGAGCCTGGCCACAGCAGCCCAAGGCAAGGTGTCTCAGAACTTAGGCTTAGAAGCGATACATTAGTAATGAGCTTGAAGCTCTTTAAAGCCGTTGGCCCAAATTGCACAAGTTTTTAAAACTTGGCCCAGGGGAAAAACGGGTGGCGAGGGGTGTGAAAGGGAAAGTTGGGAGCCGAAAGAAGGCACACCCAGTAAGCGAAATCGCGAATTTTTTAGCGAACAGCCGAGTCTAACAACAGAAAACCAGCCAATAGAAATTGTCGCACGGCGCACCACACACTCCCTCGTGATGGCGTCGAAATGCTATCAGGTGTGCTATGGGCAATCGTGGTGTGCCAGGGATGTGTGATGGCCTATTGTACGGCTCTGCAGCTGGTGCTAGTTTGTGTTTTGAAGTTCCAAATTGCGCTCAATCTGGTTCAAGTTTTTGGGTGAGTGTTGGCAAGACGGGTTCTTCAGAACCCTGGGCTGCGACGGAACACAATTGTGTTCAATTTCATTGGCTCCCATCCCTTGGGGATATGTTATCATTGGTTCATTTCCTCAATTGTGTCGCGCGGACTTCAGCCTACTCTAAACTCGGTAACCCGAAAGTCATTGCGTCAAGTATTAAAAGCTTGACGCGCGCGGCTTGCAATTTGGGTCAACGGCTTTAAGTACATCCAAGAAGGGGAGGGAATGGATGGGGAAGGGAATCAGGGGCAATCCATAGGGATTGGGGGTAATCCCAAGGCAATCTCCAATTGGTGGGTTGGAGATGGCTTGGAGATTACATTTGGGTTTGGTTGGGATGTTGGTGTACACCCAACCAAACACAATGTGCAAACTACACTACTCTAGGATATAGAAAATACAAAGTACAAAGTGTGAGATTGAAGGCTAACACTAACAAGGTGGTGCTTGGAGGTGTGAGGGGCGATTGGTACCTTCAAACCTAAACCTCACTTCTACCCCCATGCATGACCTGTGCGCGGTGCTGCACTTACCGCATGTGCCATGTGCCCCAAAGCCTGGCGACAGCAGCCCTAAAAGCCAATAAATAAGCCTCACACAAGCTCCACCCCTGAACCCTAAAAGCCAATAAATAAGCCTCACACAAGCTCCACCCCTGAACCCTAAAAGCCAATAAATAAGCCTCACACAAGCTCCACCCCTGAACCCTAAAAGCCAATAAATAAGCCTCACACAAGCTCCACCCCTGAACCCTAAAAGCCAATAAATAAGCCTCACACAAGCTCCACCCCTGAACCCTAAAAGCCAATAAATAAGCCTCACACAAGCTCCACCCCTGAACCCTAAAAGCCAATAAATAAGCCTCACACAAGCTCCACCCCTGAACCCTAAAAGCCAATAAATAAGCCTCACACAAGCTCCACCCCTGAACCCTAAAAGCCAATAAATAAGCCTCACACAAGCTCCACCCCTGAACCCGTGCGCAGTGCTGCACTAACCGCGTGTGCCATGTGCCCCAGGGCCTGCCGACAGCAGCCCAGGGTGAGATGGTCCTTGGGGGTGCGCGGGGCGAGGGAGAACCACTTGGTGAGGAGAGCGATGGTGCCTCTGGTGTGGGGGAGAGGGGGGGGGGGGGGGGGGGGCGGGGAAGTGGGGGGTATGGGGCGAGCAAGCACATGGGCACGAGGAGATGGAAGTAGAGGAAGGCGAATGGTCCTTGGGGGTGCGAGTTTTGAGGCGCCTCAAAAGAGCAAGCAGAAGGGCACGAGGGGATGGAAGGAGAGGAAGACGAGTTGTCCTTGGGGGTGCGAGGAGCGAGGGAGAACCACTTGACGAGGAGAGGGATGGTACCTCTGGTGCGGGTGTGGGTGAAATGAAAGGGGCGTAGGATATGTGATATTAAAGAAGACGACTGGTGCATCTGGCGTGGGAGAAAGCAGCCCGTGGGGCGTGCGAGGCGAGGAGCAAGGGAGAACCGCTTGGTGAGGAGAAAAATGGTGTCCCTGGTGGGTGTTTGGAGGGTGAAAAGATCGATGAGAAGCGTGTGGGAAGAGCAAGGACGTGGGGAGGGGAGGGATGGGGAAAGAGAGGAAGACGAGTGGTCCTTGGGTGCATTAAGAGGGGTGAGGGAGACCCACTTGGTGAGGAGAGGGATGGTGCCCCGGGTGTTTGGAGGGTGAAGGGGGAGTGGGAGAGTGGGTGAGCGTGGAGAGATGGGCCGAGGGAGAATTCGGAGTTGGCGTTCTCGTTGCAAGTTGATTCTGAGAATTCTCGGAACCAGCCTGCGGTGGAGAAATGTGCCAAGCGAGGAAGGAGTTGGCGAAGTGAGGAGAGGAACGGCGAGGCGGGCGGCGAGGAGCAAAGGCGGCAGCAGGGGTCGTCAGCATGGCATATCCAGGGAAGAGGTTTCTTGGGTCCTTCTTGTATGCCCAGTGGTTCTAAAGCCGACACTGGCGTGGGCGAGGTTGAAAGCGAGGAGTGTTTTGAGACGTCTAAAAACACTTCTTCACACACGCGCCGAAGGAGTTGGCGAGGCGAGGAGAGGAACGGCGACCATGGCGTGGGCGAGGTTGAAAGCGAGGAGTGCTTTGAGACGTCTGACGGCGTCACTCTCTCGTCCAGTGCATTACCTGTCGATGCATTGGCAAGTGCTGGTAAGCCTTGGGGTGTCTGGTTCCAACTCCCTTTTACTCCGACTCTTTCCCTCACTCCAGCACGTTCCATCATCCCCCACTCCCAGCTCCCCTAGGCACTTTGAGCTCACACTCACTTCAAGTCCCCTGTTGCCTGCCTGTCGGTGCATTGCCCGGTGCTGGTAAGCCTTGGGGTTCCTGCGCTACAAACTCCCTTTTTCACAGACTCCTTCACTCACTCCAAACTCTCCCTGCTTCTCTCACGCCACTCTCGCTCTCCCTCCCAGCTGCCCCAAGCACTTACACCCCGCACTCACTTCAGGTCCCCTGTCATCTGTCGGTGCATTGCCCAGCCCTGGTAGGCCTTGGGGTTCCTGCGCTGGAGCCAAGTGGGGGAGGGGTGGGGAGAGGACGAGAAGGAGAGGAGACGTGTGATGAAGACAGCAGAGGGCGGGGATCAGGGAGAGAAGGAGAGGAGACTGGTGGTATAGCAACATTGGTGGGGGCGAAGAGGAGTAAACAAGAGGACTTAGTGCCCGAGGCAGCCCGGGGCAGCATGGTGTAACCGGGAAAGAGATTCCTCGGATCCTTCTTGTATCCCAAGTGGTATAGCAACATTGGTGGGGGGGGGGAAGAGGAGTAAACAAGAAAGAGGCCTTAGTGCCCGAGCGCACATGGCCTGTGCTGGTGGGGTTCCTGGGCTGCTTTTTGAGTCGACTCAAAAATCAACTGTGCTGGTGGGGTTCCTGGGCTGCAGCAAAAAGGGAGAGGGGTGAGAAGGGAGCGAGGAGGGGAGGAGATGTGTGGTGAAGACGGGAGAGGGTGGGGGTCAGGGAGAGGAGGAGGAGAGACTCCATCTAGGGACCAACAGCGTGGGTTCCTATTGAGGCGGAATCAAAAGCACAGTGATTCCCCCCGTTGCAGGGACTTTTTGAGAATTCTCAAAAAATCCCTTCCGACCAACAGCGTGGGTTCCTATTGAGGCGGAACCAAAAGCACCAAAAGCACAGTGCTCTTCCCTGCCTCACTCGCCGGGGGTCTGCCTCAACAGCCAATCGGAACGCTCGCTCAGCCTTGTCAGCATCCAGCAGCCAATGGTAAAACATCGGAACATGACAAATAAAGCCCCTCCCATCCCATCCCGCCGCAGAGCATTGCCCAGTCACTGTGCTTTTGGTGTCACTGTGCTTTTGGTCACTGTGCTTTTGGTCACTGTGCTTTTGGTCACTGTGCTTTTGGTCACTGTGCTTTTGGTCACTGTGCTTTTGGTCACTGTGCTTTTGGTGTCACTGTGCTTTTGGTCACTGTGCTCTTCCCAGGCCCAGTTGTGTGCTGTGGATATCTCTCATCTCATCTCACTGTGCTGTGGATATCTCTCATCTCATCTCACTGTGCTGTGGATATCTCTCATCTCATCTCACTGTGCTGTGGCGCTAATCCCGTGCTGCTCTTTCCGATCTGACTCAACCTGTTCCTGCTACTACTCCCTATTCTTTATCAACTCAAAAATAGACTACTACTCCCGACGTGACTTTTGAGTCGGACTCGACTCAAAAATAGTCTACTCCCCCCTCTCAGTCACTCACCGGGGGTCCGCCTCAACAGCCAATCGGAACGCCCTCTCAGCCTTGTCCGCATCCGGCAGCCAATGGTAAGACAGCCCCACCATCCCCCACGCCCCTGACGCCGTCACCCACTCCGCTGAGCTGGCAGCTGCTGATGTGTCTTCTGCTGACGTGGCTGCTGCTGACGTGGCAGGAATTGTGAGGTTCTGGGATGGGATGAGGGCGGCGGCGCGTTCGTTAACTTCCACTGCTTCCTGCACCCTGCCTGCTGCATGTAGGGCCTGGCCCTGGGAGAGGGAGCGAGGGGGGGAGGGATGGGAGAGTGGTGGTGAATGGGCCGGAATATGCAGACAAGCACTCAGTGTCTCCCCCGATGCACGCTTCTTCCTGCACCCTGCCTGCTGCATGCAAGGCCTGGCCCTGGGAGAGGGAGCACGGGGATGGGAATCGGGATGGCAAGGGAGGGAGTTCACAGGGCAAAAAATTTAAACGAGGTAGATTAATATCCCTTTGAGAATTCCAGACCCCCTACATCCTGCCTGCCGGTTGGTTCGGATGGGCGGGTGCAAGTATGCATAAGAGGGTGACACCGTGACACAGCGCACTCAGTGTCTCCCCCTATGCACCCTGCACACAGCCACGTACGTGGTGGGAGGGAGCACGTGGAGGGGGGAGTATGTGGGGGGAGGGAGCGCAGCACAAGAGCAGCAGGGTACCAGGGAGAGCAGTGCCCGTGGCAGGTTGGAGGGGTGGTAGCCGCTCCCACTACTCCCACTGCTGTGGGGGTTGGAGTGCGCAGCAGAGGGCTGCAGAACAGCAACAGCAAAGGGGCGCACAGCACAGGGTGGGAGCAGCGTACCAGGGAGAGCAGTGCCCGTGGCAGGTCGGAGGGGTGGTAGCCGCTCCCACTGCTGCACGGGTTGAAATGAGCAGCAGAGGCCGCCAGGAGGGCCACGCATCGCTGCCGGTCCGCTATGGCCTCTGGGAAGCGGTGGATGCTGAACCACGCCTTGCCTGGGAGGGGTGGGGTAGTGTGACAACAACGAGGGTTGGTCAGCTCTGAACCCAAGAGGGTAACACATTGGCGGTCGGATATGGCCTCTGAGAAGCGGTGGATGCTGTACCACGCCTTGCCTGGCAGATGGGGTGTGGGTGGGTTAGTGTGACAATAACAAGAGGCTTTGGTCAATGTCTGAGTTGTCTTGACTCACAACTCAGCTGCTCCCTGCCCAAGAAAGTAAGCATCAGTGGCAAGGACATTATAACAGTACGCGTTAGCTAGCAGCATTACCAGCAACCAGACCAGACCAGACCGAAGCACTCCATTCAGCCAAAGGTTCATTCTATGTTTTATTAGCATTCTCAAAAAACAGACTTGAGCGCGCACGCGACCCCAAGCATGCAAGCAGGCAGAGAGCGGGGGTGAAGGGTGGTTCGAAACCTTCTTTCTCCTGCAATGAACCTCACCCTCACCTCGCTCCAGCAGCAGGTGAGCGTTGCTTGGGTCGCCTTCCAGGTGAGCCGTCAGGTTGGCAATATCCTGAAGAGGTGATGTTCAGGTGAAACAAACAGAGCACACAAGCACAAAGGGCTACAAGCAGAGATCGATTCCTTACTTAACCCCCCTTTCATCTTTCTTAGAGGTTTGTATTTCTTCCTGCCAGTGTCACACGCATGCGCACCACCACCAGGCTATGACGGCATTGCATCACTCTCCTGTGTGCATGAATCTTCTCACCTGCATCACCCGCCGGTGAATTGTGTGCCATTGTAATGAGCTGACTTTTGAGTCGACTCAAAGTCACCTCGCAGTGCATCACTCTCCGGTGCATTGCAGCTTCTGCATTCTCCAGAGGCGGTGGTGGGGGGCGATGAAGGGCAAGAAGAAGGCCAGCGCGGGGGTGAGCCGTGGCGTGCGGATGGGCGCTACAGAGGGCGAGAGGAGTCAGGAGACAGGGAGAGGGGCTGTATCTCTCACCTGCATGACTCTCACCTGCATGACTCTCACATGCATGACTCTCACATGCATGACTCTCCTGTGCATGACTCTCCTGTGCATGACTCTCCTGTGCATGACTCTCCTGTGCATGACTCTCCTGTGCATGACTCTCCTGTGCATGACTCTCCTGTGCATGACTCTCCTGTGCATGACTCTCCTGTGCATGACTCTCCTGTGCATGACTCTCCTGTGCATGACTCTCCTGTGCATGACTCTCCTGTGCATGACTCTCCTGTGCATGACTCTCCTGTGCATGACTCTCCTGTGCATGACTCTCCTGTGCATGACTCTTCCGTGCATTGCCACTTCCGCATTCTCCAGAGGCGGTGGCAGGGCGATGAAGGGCGCGAAGAAGAGCAGTGCGGGGAGAGCAGCGGCGAGCAGGCAGGCAGAGAGCATGGGATGATGAGAGTAGGGAAGAGATAGATGGAAAGAAGGGCTCTCAGTGTCTCTCTCACCTGCATCACTCTGCGGTGCATCGCCACTTTTACGTTCCCCAGAGGTGGCAGCGGGTGGTGATGGGGGGTGGTATGGCTGTCTGCCTCTCGCCCCTGCATGCAGTATGCAGGCGTGTGCATTTATAGGGCATGGGCCAGCCGCGCTCACCTGCATTACTCTCCGGTGCATCGCCACCTCTGCGTTCTCTAGTGGAGGAGGCGGAGGGATGAAGGGCGAGAAGAAGGGCAGCGCGGGCAGAGCAGCGGCGTGCAGGCAGGCAGAGAGCCAGGGCTGATGAGAGTAGGGGGGAGAGAGATGGGAGGCAGGTTGGCCCTGTCTCTTGCACCTCCATCACTCACCTGCATGAGTCTCCGGAGCATCGCCACTTCAGCATTCTCTAGTGGCGGTGGCGGGGCAATGAAGGGCGAGAAGGAGGGCAGCGCGGGCAGAGCAGCGGCGGGCAGGCAGAGAGCAAAGGCGGAAGGGCGTTCCATTCCAGAGGGCGAGGGGGGTGGTGGGGCGGTTGGTGGGGAGGGGGGGTGTCGTCCTCTCTTTTTGAGTCGACTCAAAAGCGGTTGGTGGGGGGGGGGGGGGTGTCTTCCTCTCTCACCTGCATCACTCTGTGCTGCATTTCCACTTCCGTGTTCTCCAGAGGCGGCGGTGGGGTGATGAAGGGCGAGAAGAAGGGCAGCATGGGGAGAGCTACAGCGCGCAGGGCAGGCAGACGCCAAGATAATGGGCACTCACTCCAGAGGCCAGGGGCGGGTGGTGCGGCGGGTGATGGGCGGGGTTGGCTTTCTCGAATGGCCCTTGTATTGATTGATGGGCGGGGTTGGTTGGCTTTCTCGAATGGCCCTTGTATTGATTGATGGGCGGGGTTGGCTTTCTCGAATGGCCCTTGTATTGATTGATGGGCGGGGTTGGTTGGCTTTCTCGAATGGCCCTTGTATTGATTGATGGGCGGGGTTGGTTGGCTTTCTCTCTCTCTCACCTGCATCACTCTGCGGTGCATTGCCACTTCTGCTTTCTCCATAGGTGGGGCGATGAAGGGCGGCGGGGGGGGGGGGAGAAATGGCGTGCAGGGGTGTGCATTCAAACAGCACAGCATGAGGGGGGACACACAGAGAGGCTGTCACCGTGTGCGGTGGTGGTGCATTTTCTCTCCCTCTCACCTGCATCACTCTGCGGTGCATCGCCACTTCTGCGTTCTCCAGTGGCGGAGGCGGCGCGATGAAGGGCGAGAAGAAGGGCAGCGCGGGGAGAGCAGTGGCGTGCAGGCAGAGAGCCAGCGCTGATGGGCGCTCCAGAGAGCGAGGCGGCTGGTGGTGAGTGGACGCTGCAGGCGCGGGTGGGGATCCGATGGGGAAGAGGTGAGTGCCTGGGATGGGGAAGGGGAGGCGGGTAGAGGAAGGAGTTGAAAATTCGGGAGTGTGGGGAGAGCAGCAGTGGGCAGGCAGAGAGACAAGGCTGATGGGCGCTCCAGAGAGCGAGGGGGGTGCTGGGGCGAGTGGTGGGGCGAGGCGGAAGGTGTGGCTGGGGATCCCATGCATGGGGAAGAGGTGCGTGCCTGGGGTGGGGATGGGGAGAGAGGGAGAGAAAGTGGTTGGAGATGGAGTGGGTGGAGAAGGGGATGGTGCTGCTTTTGAGTGCACTAGAACGAGCAGTGTGTATGAATGAAGAGGAGGAAATGGAAAGGGTGGAGAGGGAGGGAGGGATGGACGGTGGCAGGGTGAAGGAGTGATGATTTAAACTGGAGGGAGGCCATGACGTGGCACAAGTGATATGGTGACCGCTGATTGGCTCACGCGGCAACTCTTTCGACTCACCATGTCGCAGGAGGAGAAGCTCAGGACACGTGGCATCACTGCGTGTGTCCACGTCAGCAGAATCCTCTCCCTGCACCGTCGGATCTCCTCCTCCCGCCCTTCTCCTCTCGTCCCTTACTCCAGTTGCAACGCGTCTTCCCACACCTCCACCCCCGCCCCTTCCCTCTCCATCCCTCTCCTCGGCTGTAACACTCTCCTCACCCCTACCTTCGCCATCCCTCTTTCCAACTGCAACCCCTCTTTTCTCCCCTCCAACCTCTCCATCCCCCTCTGAGCCTGCATCCCCTCCTCCATCAGCCACGTCAGCAACACCCTCGTCTTCGTCAGCCCTCCGTTCACCCTCTCCCTCCACCCTTCCGTCCTTATCCTCGTTATTGAGTCGCAAGAGGGGATCAGGAATCTGATAACAGAAGGCATCATTGCTGGTAACGGAACAGGGGTCAAAGAAGAGGGGTTTGAAAGAATGTGGCCGAAATGAGAATCGGAGGTATCAGAAGCGAGCAGTGAACGCCAAATGTAGGCCTTTTATAAAGGGCTTATGAAAATGATTCGGCTTTTAAAGGGACGCTCCTAACGGGGGTAACAGACAAACGAACCAGAGGATGCTCGTGCCATCGAGGCCGTCCTTCACTTGAGTCACAATCACGGCCATGGTTCGCAACCACTCGTTAGAGTCGCAACCTCGCTGTACGACAAGAGGCCTGCTAAAAAGATCGCCATTGCGGTTGGTAGCGGGTGGGAACGTGTCGGGAGAAAAGTACTCAGTTTGCGGGGATTCTAGGATCGCGCAGCTTAGCAGCGAGAGTGCAATGCAAACGAAGGCTGCAGCCATGATCATGAGACATAACTAGGTCAGGCATATCTAAATTAAAAACAAAAATAAAAATAAATACTATCTCTTTTTAGAGCATCCGTTGTAGTCTAGTCGGTTAGGATACTCGTCTCTCACCCGAGAGACTCGGGTTCAAGTCCCGGCAACGGAACAGTTTTTGCGTCACGATATTTTTTGCTTACACCTTCTCATTACCACGGAATATTAAACGGCGACACACCAAGCAAAGTTCCCAGTAAACGGCGACTAGCTAGCTGGACGTTAATTTCTCAATCTCCTTCCATTTGTTTTCCCCGAGATTGGAAGTTCGATAGAGTCTCCACACTAGCTTGTCTTTGCCTCCTCTGTGCACTCGGGTCATCGTCGCTCGAACTTCGTTTGCCGCCAATCCGCGCGTACGATTCTGCTTCGTCGGTGCACACGCATCAGCCGGTCGCCTTGAAACGTTCTTGAATCTGGTTCACACACGTTGCGAGAAGTTTAGTTTACCACTCAAGGTCGGAGATACTAGGCTATCTCTGCTAGGCGAAATAGTTCCTTACAAAACGGCTAATGAGCTGAGCCGAGGGGTCCTTCGGTGGCGTGATTCGAAATCACTGAACGAATTGACGCTAACGCAACCAGAGTCACCAGGAGGCTCCAGGTTCCAGGAATCCGACGGTCTCAGACTCAAATCCCTCTTCTCCCCCCTTCTCCAGCTCACCGTCTCAAATTCCAGGTCTCAGGATCTGAGTCCCTGGTCCAGATTTCCATTCACCGGCTCAGCTTCGGTTTGACTTCGGTTTCCACAGTCGGATTTTCAGGTTCGGACTTCCAGAAGCGGGTTTCCAGAGTCGGATTTCCTCGTTATTCCCAAACTTTAAAACCGGAGTCTCAAGTTTTCCGAAGTTGCCTCATCGTTCCTACCTTTGGTTGGGTCACGAAGTCCAACCAAGCTTCCTACCTTTGATTTTGTCACTAAGTCCAACCAACCTTCCTTCCTTTGAAACCTGTGGACCCTGGGTTTTAAGTCCCAAGCTTCGTCTTTTCAGGCCCGGGTTAGGGAGCCAGTATGGGACTGCGGAGACGGCTTGCGTACTTTGCTGAAAAGGTCGCGTTTTACCATGCAGTGGTTCACTTGGTGAGTGCTGTATGGCACGCGCGCACGCAGTATCACCCATTTTCACGCGTTTACACGCACTTACAAGCACTTCCAAGCACTTACAAGCAATTTCAAGCACTTTCAAAGAACTTACAAGCACTTACACGCACTTACAAACAGTTACTTTCAAGCACTTTCAAGCACTTTCAAGCACTTTCAAGCACTTACAAGCACTTTCAAGCACTTACAAGCACTTTGCATCTGCGAGCACTCACAATCAATCCCACATATCGCAGCCACGCATGCTGTGGAAGTTGCTTATTATCCTCACCCCCCTTCCTCTCCCTCCCTCCCTCCCTCCCTCCCTCCCTCCCTCCCTCCCTCCCTCCCTCCCTCCCTCCCTCCCTCCCTCCCTCTCTCCCTCCCTCCCTCCCTCCCCACACGCCCTTTCAGAACCACATAAAGCACTAAAAAACACAGCTTTCTTTCTTTGAGCATACAAAAAGGGTTGTTAAAATCATGATGAGCCGTGACTACTACTTAAGCTCGCTCAGGACGACTGTGACTGGAGACGAATCGATGAAGCCGATTATAAAGGGGACAAAGGGCGAGTGGGTGCTGAGCCGATATCTGCTACCTCCTGGCTTGCAGTGAGTATGGCCATCGAGACAGTCACATTTGAAGAAAGAAAGAAAACAAAAAAAAAAAGACCTCCTTTCTTGCTGAGTAATTTAGCAGTGGGATTTGCGAACTTTTTCTTCATCAACTCCTTGCTTGCTGTAGTAACTGCCTGGGTTGCAGTTGCGGCTGCTCACCTGCTCTGCTTCCCCAGTTCTCTCAACCAACTCTGCTCCCTAAAATGGGGGAGGAAACTCTCTCTGATATCTGTCTCAACCTTTTTTTTTTTTTTTTTTTTGTCCTTTCATTGATATAGTCGGTTTACGGTAAACAAATTTGAGGTGACCTATTTTCTTTCTCAAATTTGAGGTGACCTATTTTCTCTCTCAAATTTGAGGTGACCTATTTTCTCTCTCATATCTGCCTCTGCCTCTGCCTATGCAGTGACATTTCTGTTGGCGATGTTGTGGTGATGAGATATGATCCCGCAACAGTTGCCTTTTACGCTAAAGCAGCCAATCCCGAGGTGTCTGCTGAGTCAACGGCCAATGACGGGGCACCAACGGAGGCAGCAGCCAATCAAAAGACAAAAGCAGGGGCAGCTTCTCGAATACAAACCTCCGCCTCTTCTTTCAAAAGCAACAATCCAAGAAAGGCAATGAAAAGGAAAAAAGTGGCCCAATCAGAAGCTGCCAGAAACACAGCCAACCGCACAACCCATGCTCCTCCCCCTCTGTCACCTCCCACGTCCGATATACCAATGTCTCAGCTTCCTGTTGCTTTCTGGCGAGTGGCAGCCGTTGTTGGAGACGAGATCGTGTCATCTCGGCCGTCAAATGAGCCGATTCGAATAGAGAAGGACCATTTTTGGCTTCTTGCAGACAACTTGGCTGTTCCTGCAGAGGTGACGAGTGAAGAGGGCCGTGAGGAGCGAAGAGGGCCGTATGGCCAAAACTTTGCACTAGTGCCCTGTATTGAGGCATGTATTGAGGCTTATATTGAGGCATGTATTGAGGCATGTATTGAGGCATGTAGTGGGGCATGTAGCGATGCATGTAGTGACGCATGTGTAGTGACGCATGTAGTGAGGCATACAGGCAGGCATATTAACACCGTCCTCCCCTCTCAGACAGTTTTTGCGCTCTTCGTGTTCTTGCACTTAATCAGACATGTTCTTTGCTCCACGTTTCGTCTTCCCAGGATGAGTTAGACGACTGAGCTGATATCATTGCTCCTCCTTAGCTTTTGCCTCCTCTTCCACATCCTCCTATGGCACCTTCCAGGAAGCTATCGACAGCCGCACCATTGGGCCTGTGCACAGGAACTACATTTTGGAAAGAGCACTGTTTGTGGTGCGGCCAGAAGGGGATCATGGACTGATCCAAAGCAGGTGAGACTTTTGCCATCCGAAGCACGTCGGGGTTCTGTCATGTGAAGGAAGCTGTTGATAGTCGCACCATTGGCCCTGTGCATAACAACTACATTTTGGAAAGAGCACTGTATGTCGTGCGATCAAAAGGGGACCATGGGCCGATCCAAAGCAGGTGAGATCTCTGCCGTACGAAGCAAGCGATAGTAATTTTATGGGAAGCAAACACTCAGCAGCGGCACCATCGGGCCTGTGCATAAGAACTATATCTTGGAGAGGGCACTGTATGTGGTGCGATCAGAGGATGATCATGGGCCCATCCGAAGCAGGTGAGATGTCTGTGACCTGTCATGCGAAGCAAGCTTATCAACAGTCGAACCATCCGGCCTGTACATACGAGCTACATATTGGAGAGGGGTCTGTGGGTGGTGCGATCAGAGGACGATCATGGGCCCATCCGAAGCAGGTGAGATTCTTTCATATGGAGGGAGCTATTGGCATGGCACACATGCCGTTGGACCTGTACATACGAGCTACATATTGGAGGGGGCTCTGTGGGTGGTGCGATCAGAGGATGATCACGAGCCCATCTGAAGCATGTGGGATTCTTTCATATGGAGTAAGCTATTGGCTTTTGAGACGTCTTAGAAGCTATTGGCAGACATCATGCCATTGGCCCTGTGCGACGTGAAGCGAGGTTGTTTTTGAGACGGCTCAAAAAAGACGTCTTAGAAGCTATTGGCACACATGCCGTTGGCCCTGTGCATAAGAGCTACATATTGGAGAGGGCTCTGTGTGTGGTGCAATCAGAAGGGGATCACGAGCCTATCCAATGCAGGTGAGGGCCTTGCCATGTGAAGCAACTAGCACTCAACAGCCGCACCAGTGGCCCTGTGCACAAGAGCTACATCTGGGAGAGGGCTCTGTGTGTGGTGCGATCAGAAAAGGATCACGAGCCCATCCGCAGCAGGTGATGTTTTTTTCATGTGAAGCCGGATTGTGCTGCACACAAGTAATTTGTGAAGGTTACTTTCCATGGTGCGATCAGCAGTTGATGTTGAGCCAGTATACCTCAAGCGAAAGATGAAAAAAAGACGGACTGTTTTAGGCCGACAATCGGCCCTGCCTTGCTGTATTGTGCATTTTTATGGTACCTTTTTGGTGCACTTTTTGTTTCCTAGATACCTATTGGTACTACCTGTTTGTAACCCTTAATATTATGTTTCCTGTGCCTTTCCTGTCGCAGTTTTCGGGCCCGGGTGCAAGATGCAGGAGTGATGGATGTGGAATGCAAAAATCTCGAGGATATTTTGAAAAGAATTGTGGAGGTTATTAGATCTCATAGAAGTTGACTTGCTATCGATCAGATGATGGCGTTGTGAAAATTAGAAGAGAAGAAGAGACGAGGGGGTTGCACTAGCAAGAATGGGGATACAAATAGCAAACCCTAGAAGAGTTGTACTCGCTATAGAGCACCCCAATACAGGCTAGAGCATAATATTCTGACACACCCCCATAGCCAAAGTGGGGTGTAATCAGCAGAGCAAGCAAAGCAGTACAAGCTCAGGGTGGATCACAATGTCACCACACATTCTGAGCACAAGTTCAAGAAGCAATATTTTAAGGTTCAAAATAATGAGCAAAGCTAGTGGTAGTCACAACGGGCAAGTGAGGAGGAGAGAGAGTGAGGGGAGAGGAGATAGGAGGCGACGCCTGAAGCTGCAGACACACGGGCGACAGGAGGCACACTGGCACAGCGGCTACCGGAACAACGCCCCAGAATACTGGAGTAACTGGCCCCACGGCTAAAGTAGCGGCAGACGAGCAACGGACCCACGGGCGGCTGGCACAGCTGGCTACGACTGGGCTACCAGAGCAACTCCCTGGAATACAGGTGCTGCTGGCGACACGACGGCAACCTCCATACAGCTTCCCCACACTATCCCACTCCCCCTGCCACGCACCCGCTGCTACACCGCTAGCTCCACTCACACGCACCCCCCTTAAACCCTAAACCCCAGACTCCCACACATCCACCCCCCTCAGCGTCAGCTGCAACAGTGGGAGACGAAGGAGGCTAAGGAGAAGGGGACGGCACGCACAACCGACACCCCCACAACCATCACCCCCATACCCGTCACCCCCATACCCTGAGTGTGCGGTAAGCGAGCTCAGGTGTGCGTGAAGCGTGCACAAGCGTGCGGGAAGCGAACTCGGATGTGCGGTAATCGAACTCAGGTGTGCGGGGAGGGGGGCCGCAGGGCGACGCGCGGGTCGATGGGGACGGGTGCACGGGTCCCCAGGGGCGGCGCGCGGGTCGACAGGGCCGTCGCGAAGGGCGACGAGGAGCCGCGCGCGGGTCGACGGGGCCGCCGCGAAGGGCGACGGGGAGCCGCGCGCGGGACGACGGGGCCGCCGCGAAGGGCGACGGGGAGGCGCACGCAGGTCGACGGGGACGGGCGACGGGGCCGGTGCACGTGCCCTCGGTGCGCCGAGACGGGTCCCCGTCGCCCGTCGCGGCGCCTCCAGAGGGCGACGCGGCGAACGACGGGGCAGAACCCCGCCGCGCGCCTCGGGGCGCACAGCGGGTATAGAACCGCCGCGCGCCTCGTGGCGCACGGCGGGCCGAAAACCTCCGCGCGCCTCGGGGCGCACGGCGGGAATAAAAAGTGCCGCACGCCACGGGGCGTGCGGCTCAGAGTGTAGTGGTAGGAGTTGCAGCGGAAGCTAGGAGGTGGTAAGCCCACCCACAGGATCGATCCAAGGGGATCAACCTGCTCTGATAGCATGTGAAAATTAGAAGAGAAGAAGAGAGGAGGGGGTTGCACTAGCAAGAATGGGGATACAAATAACAAACCCTAGAAGGGTTGTACTCGCTATAGAGCACCCCACTACAGGCTAGAGCATAAGATAACATTCTGACAGGCGTCCCTTCAACGATGCTCTAAAGGGTAGTTATTTGTGTTAGTACAATTATTGGCGACATGTGCCATCTGATCTGACATATTTCCAGATGAATACCTAGGTATTTGTGGTTGTACATTCATTTCCTAACTGGTTTCTAGCATGGATTGGTTGGAAAGATGTTGAAGAGTTTGGATTTGCGGAACAAGGGGACTGTTATAACGAAGACTTTGTGAATATCTTGAACCATTGGTTTGCGCATTCCATGAACCTTTGGTCACCACTTTCAGAATTTCCAAAGGACTCGTCAGTCCATCCGGGCCCTGGTGGCTTCGGACCCGCCAGGTCCCCCTCCTGGTGGCTTCGAGTTCCCATCAGGGCCGCACGCGGATGCACGCTGTGTCGCGTTCCCCAGCTGGGAATTGCACGCGAGAGGGAGTGCCCCGCCCGCGTGCAGGTCCCTAGCGAGATACGGGCGGCGGAGTCAGCTGGCGGGGTGGTCCCGCGCCGAGCCCGGGCCACGCCAGAGCCACGCAGCGTGGTCCCAACCCCGGGCCCCCCCGTGCCCAGCCCTGGCTCGCGAAACCCCTCGCGAAACCCCCTCGCCATCCAACCCGATGTCGAGGGCCGAACCCTCGGCGCGCCGAAACATTTTCGCATGCAAATCGGCGAGTGCGAATGGAAATTCGGGCTGGCCGAAACGGATTCGGCCAATGGGAGCCGGTTTTAGAGCGACGGACGAATCGGCGCGCGTGCGAAGCCATCTCCGTGCTGCCCGAAATGGAGCCGCCCAATCGCCGCCGTTTGCATGTTGAGCTTAATTTTACGGAGCAGAGTGTACGCCATTCGAAAGAATTAAATGAAATAATTTTAAATGCATCAGGGAAATATTCAACTGCGAGTTTACATGTAATATAACGGAGTGTAGTGTTAATTCGGGTGGTGACCCGAATAGGTGTACCTGATCGTTACCTCGGATTTCGGCGGACGTGACGAGAAAAATTCTCTCCGCGAGAGTTGGTAACCCGCTCCGAACGGGGCTCGCGGACGGGGTGCAACGTGGCGGACGTGGTCTGCATAAGCGTGCATTTTGCGGAACCTCCCCCCTTGTCAAGTCGAAAGCGGCGCGGGTTGAGAGGCCCGCGCAGTTTGACCGCGAGTGCCGTTTCTTGATTCCCCCTCGGCCCACTCTTAGGTTCTCGGTAAGGGCACCTGGTGCTCATTTTCGATCTCCGTCTTCACATCTTGTTTTCTTCCTGCTCGCCCGTTCCACCTTGAGGTCTTCATCGCCTAGTGCTAGCAGAGACACTGCTTGGCCGCGCTCGCGCTTGGTCGCGAGCACCATTTCGCGTACCGTTCCTCCTAGATACCCCGTACCTGTGGTCGCGCTCTTGCGGTCGTACCAGTAGTTCCTCCTAGATAACCCGTACCTGTGGTCGCGCTCTTGCGGTCGTACCAGTAATGAACCGCGAAATGAAGGCGCTTAGAGCTGGGTCGAAGGAGGCCGCCTCGTGTCCGGCCATCATATCTGTTGCGGGAGCCACGGTGGACCTCCCCCCCGAACAGTGGAAGCTCCTCCCTGAGGATAAGCATCCGTTCACGGCCCGTCTGTTCGACTTTGTCACTGGGTGAGATCCATGCGTTCCATTCCCTGACTCTACTATGCACGCGTTGTTTACGGTCGCGTTGTTAGGGCTGTTCGCGACATGTCAGCAGTGTTTACTAGTGGGCAGGGCAGGCCGCGTCATATCCCCACGGTGCTTTTAGGTCGCGTTGTTTATGGTTGAGCTTTTCCCAGCGGTGTTTTACTTCTTCCCGCACAGCGTGATTGTCCGGAGGTTTCTGGAGAAGGAGGTGCAGGAACACGTCCGAATCGTGACGAGCGATGTTGTCGCGGACATAGTCGCGGGTCGCGATGAAGCGGTCCACGCCTTTGCCGGTGTGATGGAGTGCAGCCTGGTTGCTTTCTGGATCTGGTCCGAGTGAATGTTCATTGGGAGTGTTCACTTGTACAGGGCATGCACTCGATTACGTGGTTTAACACGGTCGTCGATGGCACGTGCAGGGACTTGGTTGACAAGAAGTGCTCGAACGCGAGCATGCTCATTATGCTTCACCCCGACCACCTGTTGCTTGACGGTAACAAGACTTGGAACACGCGGTTCGTTCACGTTGCTATTCCCCCTGGCGGTGCCTGCCACGTCAACGCGGCGGAGGCGATTGTGGAGTGAGTACCGCGTACAGGTGTATCATCAGTACCACGTTCATTTCCGCTCCGTGGCTCATGTCGCTAATCGTGCGTTTGCGTGGCTATGTCCGTGCGTTTGGGCAGGTGGTTTCAGGGTCGCGTTGACGAGGAATTTGCGCGCGGCTCCATTTAGTGCACCCGCTCCCGCCAGCTTAAGGATCCCAAGCGTCTGTTCGATCTGGTATGTCTGTGTTGTGCACGTGTTCTCGATGGCCGCGAATAGTTGCAACCGTGCTAACAAATTCCATGTTATGCTTTCCAGGACGCGACGTCGTTGAAGGGCTCATGCGGCAACCTCGCTTGTCTGTTCGCGTTCGACAAGATCCTTGCCCAGTTGGACGCGGTCGCGGCCAGTGGATCCGGACTGCACTTCTCGAGGCCAACCGCAAAGACTCTGAATGCACTGCGGCATGAGGCGTACCAAGCCGCCGAAGAGCTCGCGTTCAACTTGAGCGTGGATTTGACGCGACCCAAGCACGGCGGTGAGGCTGAAGGGGCTGAAACGGGGAAGGTGCAGAAAGTGGCAACGGGTGCGCAGGTTGCTGACAATGGTGTTCTCGCTCTCACAGGTGCCGCTGGTGTTTCGAACCACGGAGGTGCTCGGGGGGGGGACGGTGGTCCACGATGATGACGAAGGGGCAGAGGATACCGCGACTAAGGGTGCAACCCGCGATGAGGCTCACCGCACTGTTGCGAGTGAGGGGGAGGAGTCGAGCGAGGAGGAAGCGGAGGCTCACGTGGTCGCAGCCGCGGCAGTCAGCAGGCCCACTACATCTGGCAAGAGCATCAAGCACCTCGCGCAGCAATTGGCCCCCGGTGCTGGAAGCGCGGGCCCGAGTGGTGAGGTCGCGGGCAAGAGTCCCGTGACAGGTGAATGTGATCACGCGTCCCTGTCCGCGTTGCCATCGCATAAGCTTGCTGCCGAGATCCTGCAGCTTGATTGCAGGCTTGCAGCACAGGCGGAAGAGATCGCACGGCTGACAAAACGCCAGGAGTCAGGGGTTGGTGGGGTCGCGGTCGTGGGCTCCGAGGAGCTTGAGTCCGCGCTTGGTAATGCGGTTCGGGTGTTGGAGAAGGAGGCGAGGGCGATCGCGCAGGAAAGAGCGGCCCTGGTCGATACGCGTAACCAAGAGGCGTTGGTGCTGGGGCGAGTAGACGCGAGGTTGGGACAGCTGCAGGGGGTGGTGGCAGACTCCTTGGAAACCGCTCAGAAGAAGTTGACGGACGAGGTTGCGCGGAAGATCGACAACATGTCGACCGCGGTCGCCGCGACAGCAGAGCGTGCAAGCACCACAAGCGGGGTCACGAACGCGCTGCACACGCTCATCGCGCTCGTTGGAGGAATCACGCCTCCGCGCACGGATACTGAAGAACCAGCCGTGACTGAGAATGCCGAGTCCGGGGATGCAGAGCATGGAAAGCGGGCGGCGAGTGCGAAAGCTGAGAATCAGAGGGGGCCGAAGAGGCAACGAGGTCCTCTGGCAGCGGCCGCGGTGCGCAACCCGAGCGTGCAGGACTTGCTGAAGCAGAAGTGGGGAGCTGCATCGCGGGGTGCAGAACAGCCTGCTCAACCGGGTTCGAGCTCGCGCTCCATCCCACCTGGAGAAGCTGCACCCAAACCATCGGTCCCTGCCGGGCCAACCATTACAATGACGGCTACCGTGGGTAAGGGCAAGGGTAAGGCGGAGGATGGGGAGGGGCCTGCTACTGCGGGTTCGCTGGCTGCGAGGCGTGAGGTCCAGCCCACGACGGCTGCAGCAGCGGAAGGCAAGCAGACCGCGCTCGCACCCCCTCATGCTACCGCAGGACATCAAGGGCGCAGCGCGATCGCATCTGCAGGTGCGAGCGCTGCCGCGGTCGAGGTCAAGACGGAGAAACGCGGCAGGGGTGGCAAGAAGTTGCCCCCTACACCCGTGTACACGATCGACGAGGACAATGCGGACGAGGAGCTGGAGGGTCTTATGAGCAGGTGGGTCGTGGAGGCGGGCGACGGAGGAGAGCAGGGTGGGGAGGCCACGGTCGAGGTTCATAGCGACGGGGAGAGCGCGGACGAGCAAGACGGAGACCCCGTGGTCGTGCCAGGTGGCACAACGGGAGGACATGGGTGACACTGGCAGCAAGCGCAGGGGCTGCGGTATCCGCGCTCCACCCAGGGGCGGGCCCGGCTTGGTTTCCGAGCCCCATCTGGGGGGGAAGAAGCGTTGGCTCGGACACGGCGATCGCCAAGACCTGCAGTACAAGACCGCGATCGCGATGCTGCCCTACGACAGGAAGGTAGACCCCGGGCTGAACCTGAGCAAGAAGCAGCTCCGAGACTGGGCCGCGGACCTGTCCATCGCCGAGGGGTTACATACGGGCCTCTTAATCACCATGCACTACCACAATCTCGTGGCAAGCAAGGACAGGTGAGCTGTGCCAAACCACCATCATCTAGTGCATTCATACGGTTTGGTATGTTATCATGTTCTGGCCGCTCCAACCCACTGCGTGGCAGGTGGCAACGCATGTTCGAATCCTATCGCGGGCTAACCAAGCCTGGAATGCACACCACCAACGAGATTGCATGGGCCGCGGTGCCAGGCAAGGAGGCTGCAACAGAAGAAGTGGATCTCGGCGATGTGGAGCCGACAGACCACGCGGGAGCGATCGCGTGCGCCATTGCAATGGTGTGGGAGGTTACTCGCGGTTCTAACGTCACTGCCGCAGCGGATAATGGACATTTGGCCGCGCGAGCTGCTGGTTGCTATGGGGAGCGAAGCCGACTCTTCCCCGTAGTTTCCGCGTTCGTCATCAATGCGGTGCGGAAGCGCAATGCCCGCGAACATCTGCAGGCTGAGGACGACGAGCCACAGGTTGTCGCGGACCCGAAGGTGGTCGCTGCCGAGATAGTGTCTGGAGTCGTGAACGAGGTCATTGCCAAGTCTCGCGATCTCAGGCACATTGAGTTGGCCGCCCGCGAAACGGTGGACGTTATCATCACCTGGTGCGACTACTCAGTGGCAGGGAAGTAGATGGAGTCCTTGGGTCGGTACCTTGCCCTGCCCAAGGATCGTCTGCCCTCAAAGAAGCGGACTTGAGTGCGTGTAGTATCGCGTTGCATCTGCATAGCTTGTCCACCCTGCTTGAGTTCAACTCGCGGTGGATTATGCTGAGTTTGCAGACCTGTGTCCATGTAGGTTAACGTGTGTTTGTGTGTTAAGAGTGAGAATTGATTGATGACATTTGGAACAACTCATGATAAATGTCCAACGAGGACGGGGCACCCACGAAACAAGCGCGACCGATCAAAAGGTAAATTTCACGAGGAATTACTTTTTTTTTTGTTACTTTCTGTTTCCAAGCATTGCGGTGTTTCTATCCAACGCGAGCAACAGCCCCAAACACACGATACCAGTATGTGTCATACTAGTGTAACGCGATCGAATTTCCATAGGTTCAAGAAGAAAATGGAACAAGTATCGTAATCTACATATACCATCTAATCTAGCTGGGGCATAAGTGCACAGTACTGGAGCCACGTGACCGTGAACTCAGACGCGGGAAGAGAGGCATCGATGAGACGGTCGCGAACAAGCATCCATTTCACACGCAACTGCACCTCCACCGGAGAACCCTTCTTGAGCTGGCTGAGTTCCAAGTCAACACTCTTCTTCGTTACCGCTATCCCTTCCGATAAATCCGACATGCCCACAGCTGCTGACACGAGGTCGATGTCTGATTATAATGCATGTCTAGTCTGTAGTGGGGTACTCAAAAGTGAGTATAACCCTTTTAGGGCTTACTACTTGTATCCCCCTCCTTTCTAGTGAACCACATTCTCCTTCCACAATTCTCTCGACATTTGTTCCTACACCCTACACCCTCGAACTTCACCAAGTCACCTAAGCTACTATGGCTCCAAAGCCTACTACACTCTACAACTTTAACATGCTATCCGAGCTTAAAGCTCTTGGCCTGTGGGCCCACTTGCTTCCGCTGCCCTACTATGTGTCGCGTGCCCCGTGGCGCGCGACATTCTATTTTTCTTCCCGCCACGCGCTCGGAACGCGTGGCGGTTTTCTGCCCGCCGTGCGCCCCGAGGCGCGCGGCGGGCTCCTACCTCGTCGCGGCGTCTTGGGGGCCCGCGCACTGGCCCCGACCATCGCCTCGTCGCGGCGTTTTGGGGGCCCGCACGCAGGCCCCTCCCGTCGCCTCGTCGCGGCACTTTCGGGGCCCGCGAGCCGGCCCCTCCCGTTGCCTCGTCACGGCGCCTTAGGGGCCTGCGAGCAGTCCCCTCCCGCCGCCCGTCAGGGCACTTTCGGGGGCCTGCGCGGCTCCCTAGCACGTCGCCCGTCAGGGCACCCTGGGGGCCGCGCCCTTCCCCTCCCCTCCCTCCTAATTTCCGCTGCAGCAGCAGCCCCTGGAGCAGCCGCCCCAGCAGCAGCAGCACCTGGAGCAGCCGCCCTAGCAGCAGCAGCCCCTGGAGCAGCCGCCCCAGCAGCAGCAGCCCCTGGAGCAGCCGCCCTAGCAGCAGCAGCCCCAGGAGCAGCCGCCCCAGCAGCAGCAGCCCCTGGAGCAGCCGCCCCAGCAGCAACAGCCCCTGGAGCAGCCGCCCCAGCAGCTGCAGCCCCTGGAGCAGCCGCCCCAACAGCAGCAACCCCTGGAGCAGCCACCCCAGTAGCAGCCGCTCCAGCAGGAGCAGCCCCAGCAGCAGCAGCCCCTGGAGCAGCCGCCCCAGCAGCAGCAGCACCTGGAGCAGCCGCCCCAGCAGTAGCAGCCCCTGGAGCAGCCGCCCCAGCAGCAGCAGCCCCTGGAGCAGCTGCCCCAGTAGCAGCAGCTCCTGGAGCAGCCTCCCCAGCAGCAGCAGCCTCCTGGAGCAGCCGCCCCAGCAGCAGCAGCCCCTGGAGCAGCCGCCCCAGCAGCAGCAGCCCCTGGAGCAGCCGCCCCAGCAGCAGCAGCCCCTGGAGCAGCCGCCCCAGCAGCAGCAGCCCCTGGAGCAGCCGCCCCAGAAGCAGCCGCCCCAGCAGGAGCAGCCCCAGCAGCAGCAGCCCATGGAGCAGCCGTCCCAGCAGCAGCAGCCCCTGGAGCAGCCGCCCCAGCAGCAGCCCCTGGAGCAGCCGCCCCAGCAGCAGCCCCTGGAGCAGCCGCCCCAGCAGCAGCCGCCCCTAGCCCCTGCAGCAGCCGCTCCTGGACCCGGTGCAGCCGTGGGGGGGTGGGTGTGGGGGTGATGGTTGTGGGGGTGTCGGTTGTGCGTGCCGTCCCCTCCTCCTCCTCCTCCTTCGTCTCCCACTGCTGCAGCTATCGCTGAGGGGGGTGGATGTGTGGGAGTCTGGGTTTAGAGTTTAGGAGGGTGCTGTGGGTGTAGGGCTAGGGTTTGAGCAGGGGGTGTGTGAGAGGGGCGTTAGGCAGCTGGGGGAGGTTAAGTGGAGGCAGCAGTCTTGTCGTCAGCAGCACCAGCAGTCCGGAGGCTACAATCTCCGGTAGTCGCCAGTCGCCTGTGGGTCAGTTGCTCGTCTGCCGCTACTTTTAGCCGCGGAGCCAGTTACTCCTGTAGTCCGGGCCTTTACTTCGGTAGCCACTGAGCCAGCAGCTTGTCTGTGTGTCTGCAGCATCAGCAGTCGCCTCCCATGTTCTCTCCCCCACTGTCTCTCCTCCTCCTCACTTGCCCTCTGTGATTAGCTCTAGCCTTACTTACCTATTATGAACTCTAGCTCTATGCCTGCATGCTGTACTGATTATACCCCACTTTGACTATGTGGGTGTGTCAGATTATAATGCATGTCTAGTCTGTAGTGGGGTACTCAAAAGTGAGTATAACCCTTTTAGGGCTTACTACTTGTATCCCCCTCTTTTCTAGTGAACCACATTCTCCTTCCACAATTCTCTCGACATTTGTTCTTACACCCTACACCCTCGAACTTCACTAAGTCACCTAAGCTACTATGGCTCCTAAGCCTACTACACTCTAGAGCTTTAACAGTCGAGCTTGTGGAGCACTACCGCGATGTTGTCTCCCTGCTTTATCCTGTTCGTGATGAAGTCCATGACTCGCTTGGCACGGTTTATCGCGTTCGTTGCTCCCTCCTTGCCTATAATCTCGGCCATTCGCGTTACTGCACCGCGAGGCTGGGCCAGAAGCGACTCTGGACTCTCGAGGATCAGCGGGTGCGTGGTCTTGTACAGCTTCCATCTGTCTGGCGGTTTGGTCGCGTTGACCCATGGATTGACGATTGCGTCCCGAATCGTCTGTTCCCTGGTGGGCGGTGCGGGTTTCTTCCGCGTCCCCTGGTCGGTGGGAGTTGTGGCATTGGTAGGCGCGGCCGCATCTCCGGGACTGTTTGCCGGGTTCGGAACCGTGGTCTGCCCTGCGCTGCTCACGGTGAGCCGCGACAGCTGGGCCTCCAAATCATTCACGCGCTCGTCCTTCGCGGCCAGCTTCCGATCGCGATCATCCAGCAGCCTCTCCAGCTCTTTCACTCGTTTATGAGTTGCGACCAACTCTAGGCCCAGCCTGGTGTTGTCCGCTAGTGAACGAGTCAGGTACTCAGTGAGGACGGTCACTTGGTTCTGCGCGTCCATCCTGGTACTCACCTCCTGGATGGACAGAAAGCGACCGCGAACTTGTTATGGTTTGGCATTGACATTGCAGCCGGAAAGATAGCGCGACCATGCAGTACTTACCACGCCCTGGGTCAGTGTAGGTGTCTTGCACTGTACTAGGGCGAGTTGATTTGCCAATGAGACATCTGCAGCCCACGACGCAAATTCCTCCGTCTGGCAGAGCGGGTTGTTGACCACGAACGGGTGTCGTGGCTGGTGAATGTAATACATCGCCAGGTCTTGCGCGACCGCCATCCTAGCTTCCCCATCCAGCTCCTTCAGTATGTTTAGCCCCGCGGTGTCCTGCTTCTCCGGCTTCTGCTGTTTGACCATCTCGCGGTTGTAATCCTTGCACTGTGACAAGAAAACAACGCGGTAGTAAACGCGGTGCCAGAGGGTTATGTGGGATGCTAGCGGTTTCGTGGAACTATTGTGCGCGGCCCACTCATACATGTTTCTGTCCTTTGTCCGGGGCGGCCCAGGGAAAAATGTGCTTCCTCAGTAACTTCTCCAGCTCCGGGCTCACCGGCACAGTTGCGCGACCAAGGAAGTAGTCACCGTCGACCCCGGTGAAGCCAGCCTTCAGCAGCACGGCCTCCCTCAGAATGGTTGTGAGGTAGTGCTTAGTCATCACGTCGATGAAGCGCCAACCCCCTAGTCTCGCTAGCTGATCCGAGGGCATTCCGTCCGCGGACGCGTGCTGCGCCCCACCAGCCTTGGTCGCGTGAACCACACGTGAGCATGTGATTCCCGCGTCATCCAGAATTTTCGTCGACCAGTCGTGATTAGTCGTTGGCGGTATTTGCTTCTCGGTGCCCGAGCGAAGGGGGAAGAATAGGTATTGATCGTACTACGTCGAGGGTTCCGTGAAGTCGAGAGGGGGGGCTATGTCTTCGTAGAGGATGGGAACCAAGTCGTACACCCGGTGCAGCCACAGCAGCGTGGCTCGGACCGCGCACAGCGTCCAATCTATGTGCCTCGCAGCAGATATGTAGTTGAGCGAAAAGTCCTTGTTTGTCTTGCCCGTCCTGCACGCGCATACAAACATGAACGCGTTCCTCACTGGATCGGTCTCGGATTTCCCGCCGAGCTTCCACATCATCATGTCTGGAAGCTGCAGGTTTCTGATCGTGCACCCACGGGCCAGAGTGTGATGACCGAGCACGGTCATCGTCCGGATGCAGAGGTCGCGATGCATTGCCTACGTGTAGGCTTTCTTGGCTAGTGTGAAGCTGGTCAAGATCGCGTCCATGCTGGTCTTCCGCATCATATGCTTGAACTCGTCCGGGGTGTACGTGTCCGCGGCCATGCCCCGATGGCGATCCATGTGTTCCCTGCGCATCAATTTTTACGATAGTGCGGGTGTTAGTGGACGCGGTATTGTTGGAAACGCGTTCACTGTGTACATATACTTACGCGATAAACCGCTTGTACTGATCGCGTACTTGAACGCGGACCCAGATGCGACACTCCGCAAAGTCGCGCAGCAGGTTCAAAACAGGCTTCCTGAAGATTGCCCCGTCCAGCTTGATGAGCAGGTTCAAAGCCTTGAGATGCCCCATTAGCATTGCCGGGGTGCACTGGCGTCTCTTCTTCAAGGTCTTGTTGGGCCGCTTGAGTGTGGCCATCCTGTCCGCCTGTGCGACCGTCTCGTTCGCGAGGAAGGTCACGTATTTGCGTAAGCGCTACGGATTCGTCTCAGGGCCGTGGAACCACTGCTCATCGCCCTCCGCCATCTTCCAATCACCACCCATGTTCTGTTCGAGCGCTGCCCCGATCTTGTCTGGGTTCGCGTTTCTCAACGCGGCCTCCTCACCAAACCTACCCGCGTCCAATTTAGGCAGCACGTGCGCCATGAACCGCTTGTACTCGTTGGCCCAACCGCGATACTTCTTCAGTGTGGCCGTACAGACACCGTAGATGATTCCGTAGCACATCTCTCGTTTCGCTGTCGGCGTGTCATCCACACCAAGCCTGTTCCAATCCGCAATAGGGACCTCAATGTCCCTCCGCGTACCCCGCACCCGTTCGTTGTCTTCCGCCTCCTCCTCGTTGAGCGCGGACAGCGAGTTCGATAGGTAGTTATCATCATCGTCATTCCAACTATCGTCCGCATCGTCACCGTCGTCCTCGTCATCCTCATCGCTTGTCCCCTCGCTCCCCTCCCGGGAGCCGTTGCGTGCCGTGTGCGGCACGACATCGACTCGCCGCCTCCTTATACGCGGTTTATTAACTGGCCCGTTCCCGGTACCGCCGTTCGCGTTACCACCGTTACCTCTGTCGCCGTTACCTGTCACCCCAGGTGCTCCCTGCCCGTTCGCACTATCCCCGTTCGATCCCACACCTGTCCCACGTCCCGCGCTCGCTCTCCCACCCCTTCCTCTCGCACCTCTCCCTCTAGCCGCGTTCCCTCTCTCCACTGTCCCTCTTCCCGCGTTCCCTCTCGCACCAGTCCCTCTTCCTATTCCCGCGTTTCCTCTTGCACCCGCTCCACGCCCCGCGTTCCCCGCGTTCGCCTGTGGTTGCCCACCTACACCAGTCGCGTCCGCTGCAGTCGGTTGCGCGAGGGTGCGGATGTGGACGTCCGGGTTTCCCGGCAACAGTGAGTTCACGTTCCATATTGGCGGCGAATGGGCACGCGAGCTTGCATTCATCCACGTTCCACCATTCACCGCACGGCCAAAACCATCGGTAACCGCATTTGATGATGGGCCGTCTGTTCGCGCCAGTGTGTATACACCGACCACTAGTGGCTCTCTAGGGTCTGGAGGGACTTGCACCGTTGGCTGGCTTTCTGGATGGATCGCGCTGGGGAATGGAGTTGACGGCGCAAATGCGGGCGTGGCGACAGATGCGGGTGCGTGCACCATGGTGTCCGGTTGAACGCCAATGTACCCGTAACTGAATCCCACATTCGCGTACTGCTGCCCTACGAAGCCACGCACAGGCATCCCAAAGAGCTCGCATGTCGGCATGGACGGGGACGCGCTGTGTTGTCCATCGACCTGTGGTCCGGGATGAGGCGTGGATACTCCATGCGCGGTCAAATCATCCTGTTGATTCTGAAACGCAACCGTCGCTGCCGCAAACGGAATGTGAAACCGCGGTGCTAGGTGGAGCCCGTTGACCAGTTGCTGTGGGTGGAACGCGGGCATCCGCGCCCCTAAAACCACGGGCTGCACGTATGGGGTGCTCCATGTTGGGTTGAGCGCGTGCACCCCTTGCACGGGAGCGGCAGGCGGTTCGGCATTATGGATATGCTGCGCGGTTGTGTTGCCCGTAGCATTGATGGAGTCGTTAAGTATTGGCACCGCGACGCGATTCACTGTATGCATGCAGCATGCTACTTTGCCCCTACTCCTTCTCACCGCGTGCGTCAACATGTTGCGCGGTCACTACTTGTACACCGGGATGTGACTTAGACCATCTATATCGCGACCGTGGTGATCGCGGACACTCGTGCGTGGCCGACCTTGTAACCGTGACACTGGTTTGGGGTTTTACGTTTTAGTCCGGTGAGTCCTGTGGGTAACGAGAGGCCCTCGGTAAGAGCTCGGTGTGCAGCTGGCAAGCATAAACCGAAAACGAGGGCAAGCTCGGAGTCATAACCGGACGCTGGGTGGACGTGCTTGACACGCTACCGCGATCGCGCCTCGACCAAAACAGCGACATCTGTGTGGCTCGTTCAAATTGCTGCACGTGCCGGCCAGCATGGAGCCTACCAGATCGCGCCAGCTGTTTCCGAACCGCATCTCGCTTCGCGCCTACCGAACCTATCGTTGTGCGAACTTTGTTCGCGATATGTTGCGAGACACCCCAAACCAGTAGTAGCACACCTTTTTTTCGCGACCGCGCAGCTTCGTGCACGGGATGTCCCACCTGTCAATGTTTCCGACCAATCGCGCTCGTTGTCTACCGAGTCGCGCATGCATCGGCGCGTAAGAACGACGTGGGTTCTTTCGGTTTTTTGGGGGTCGCGGAGCTTTCGGTGGCAGCCTGGTGGGTTTCACTGAGCCACGCAGGGCCGCGCTAGGTCCAAACCTGGTGGGATCCTGGGTGGCCGACTTCGCCCCACGCCTCCCGCGATGTCTCCGCGCCCCGTACATCCCCAGGCGTGGGCGGGGTTTTTCCCGAGCCGCGCCGTATGAACATCCTAGGGTAACGGATAGTTGCTGCTATAAGTTGGTTCCGAGTAAGAGTAAGACGACGACTAAGCGCGCATCGACTTTGCATCGACATTCCTAGTTCTTCTCACTGTCGCTAACGTTTTTTTTGTGATTAATCACCAGATCGAACGTCCTCTTGTAATTTGATTCCGATCCTAGCCGGACCGTATTTCAACTGAGCGCAAATCGCATTCAGGCTTATCGTCTGTTTAGTATTGTCCAGTGGAGTGAAGAGTCACGACGAAACATCGTCATGTCATTTGAACGCATAGCTAGGTGTAAGCTCGTCATGTTAAAGTTCTAGAGTGTAGTAGGCTTAGAAGCCATAGTTTAGGTGCCTTAGTGATCGAGGTCGAGGGTAAGGAGAAAAGTATCGAGAGGTTTTGGAAGGAGAAGTGAGATCACTAGAAGGAGTTCGGATACAAGTACAACACCCTAAATTGGGTTGTACTCATTACAGAGTACCCCACTGCAGGCTAGACAGCAAATACATTCTAACACACCCCCATAGTCAAAGTGGGGTATAATCAGTACAGCATGCAGGCATAGAGCAAGAGTTCACAATAGGTAAGTAAGCTAGAGCTAATCACAGAGGGCAAGTGAGGAGGAGGAGAGACTGTGGGGGAGAGAAGATGGGAGGCGACTGCTGACGCTGCAGACACACAGACGAGCTGCTGGCTCAGTGGCTACCGGAACAGCGCTCCGGACTACTGGAGTAACTGGCCCCGCGGCTAAAAGTAGCGGCAGACGAGCAACGGACCCACGAGCGACTGGCGACTACCAGATATTGTAGCCTCCGGACTGCTGCTGCTGCTGACGACAAGACTGCTGCCTCCACTCAAACTCTCCCAGCTGCCCAACGCCCCTCTCACACACCCCCTGCTCAAACCCTAGCCCTACATCCACAGCACCCCCTTAAACCCTAAACCCCAGACTCCAACACATTCACCCCCCTCAGCGAGAGCTGCAGTAGTGGGAGACGAAGGAGGAGGAGGAGGGGACGGCACGCACAACCGACACCCCCACAACCATCACCCCCACACCCACCCCCCCACGGCTGCACCGGGTCCAGGAGCGGCTGCTGCAGGGGCCAGGGGCGGCTGCTGCAGCGGCGGTTGCTCCAGGGGCTGCTACTGCTGGGGCGGCTGCTCCAGAGGCTGCTGCTGCTGGGGCGGCTGCTCCAGGGGCTGCTGCTGGGGCGGCTGCTCAAGGGGCTGCTGCTGCTGGGGCGGCTGCTCCAGGGGCTGCTGCTGCTGGGGCGGCTACTCCAGGGGCTGCAGCTGCTGGGGCGGCTGCTCCAGGGGCTGCTGCTGCTGCTGGGGCGGCTGCTGCAGTAGCGGCGGCTCCAGGGGCTGCTGCTGCTGGGGCGGCTGCTCCAGGGGCTGCTGCTGCTGAGGCGGCTGCTCCAGGGGCTGCTGCTGCTGGGGCGGCCGCTGCAGTGGCGGCGGCTCCAGGGGCTGCTGCTGCTGGGGCGGCTGCTCCAGGGGCTGCTGCTGCTGGGGCGGCTGCTCCAGGGGCTGCTGCTGCTGGGGCGGCTGCTCCAGGGGCTGCTGCTGTTGGGGTGGCTGCTCCAGGGGCGGCTGCTGTTGCAAGGCAGGCCGCTCCAGGGGCGGCTGCTTCAGAGGCGGCGGCTCCAGGGGCGGCTGCTGCAGCGGCGGCGGCTGCTCTAGGGGCGGCTGCTGCAACGGAGAGTAGGAGGGAGGGGAGGGGAAGGGCGCGGCCCCCATTGTGCCCTGACGGGCGACGTGCTAGGGAGTCGCGCAGGCCCCCGAAAGTGCCCCGACGGGCGACAAGAGGGGACCGCGCGCAGGCCCCTAAGGCGCCGCGACGAGGCAACGGGAGGGGCCGGCTCGCGGGCCCCGAAAGTGTCGCGACGAGGCGTCGGGAGGGACCTGCGTGCGGGCTCCCAAAACGCCGCGACGAGGCGACGGTTAGGGCCAGTGCGCGGGCCCCCAAAACGCCGCGACGAGGTAGGAACCCGCCGCGCGCCTTGGGGTGCACGGCGGGCAGAAAACCGCCACGCGCTCCGAGCGCGTGGCGGGAAGAAAAATAGGATGTCGCGCGACACACAGTAGGGCAGCGGAATCGAGTGGGCCCACAGGCCAGGAGCGTTAAGCTCTAATAACATGTTAAAGTTCTAGAGTGTAGTAGGCTTAGGAGCCATAGTTTAGGTGCCTTAGTGATCGAGGTCGAGGGTAAGGAGAAAAGTATCGAGAGGTTTTGGAAGGAGAAGTGAGTTCACTAGAAGGAGTTGGGATACAAGTACAACACCCTAAATTGGGTTGTACTCATTACAGAGTACCCCACTGCAGGCTAGACAGCAAATACATTCGGACACGTCATCCCTTGACTCATCCTCCTATGTTCTCCTCGCTTCCTCAAGAAAATTTGCCTCCCCTAGATCCTTCCCACAGACGGAGGTCACCTAGATGTAACCACAGGATGTCACCCCCCAACAAGCCCCGAACTTGCCAGCAAGTGCCCTGCCATGCGTCAGATTGTAGAATTGCGCGGAAGTCCAGTTCGTCATCCAACCAGATGCCACATTACGTGGAACCGAACCAATCTCGTATCTATTCGCTTTTCAGAAACCTCGCTACATATATTGTTTCAAAAGGGTTTACCCTTCAAGAAGCCACAAACTCTACAACCCTATGCCACCGCCGACCAACGTACCTAATCAAACCAAATTGAGACGCTGCCCCCAATGTATCTTGCAAGGCACTCCGCCCATACTTAAACAGCAGGTAAACTATCTCTCTGATGAGGGTCGCAGAATCCGAGATGTTCCACACATGTTTCTCGCGGACAGCTACAAGAGGTGCTTAGACTGAACATGGTTCGGATGATTTTGCACACGTTTGTGTGAGAACCAGGATATCACATATAGTAACGAACTGTCACGCCAAAGCAAGCTCCACCAGTGAAGCTGAGGGCATGGCTGGAGTTTCCCTCAACGTATGTCCGCGGCCAAACATGACTTCACGACCGCTATTGTCTCCCTGCACACATTTGGGCAGCCTTCAAAAACAGAACACACATGTTCAGCACAAGTGCATCTTCAACTACAAACAGGTGAGTGCAACTATCACCTAGGACATAACATACCTGCGGTTAAGTGAGATTGTGCGAGTGCATCAGGGCACACCCATCATGGTAGAGGGATTCTGACGCTATCCTGCCTCCATTATATGCCCAGCCAGCCGGCGCCAACGCACGCCAACCCCCCCCCCCCCCCCTCGTACGGTGAGGGCTGCATGTTGCACAGGTCCCTGTCGGGGCGATAAGGGAGCATACACACCTCGTTAGCAGAGTCTTTAGTTGGACGTAACGATGCGCGAGGCTGAACTATCATCTTGCGAGGACGTACCCGTGGTCTGCCGCTTACACACGGCAGTAATCCAACCGACTCATGTGTCCAGGTTTGACACCTCACGGCACCGGTCAGCCCATTTGTTCAGCAGCCAGGTCCCGGGCGTTTTCCGGGACTTCATAACGTGGACCGACCGTACCACGTCACACACGCGCACGACATCAAACCCCCCATTCCTTGTTGACCATGACAGCCGGTGGCATCCGGTCTCTGCGTCCACATCACCACAAGTCACTCTCCGTATGAACACCATTGCGTGGGACTCTGTTGCACTGCCTGAGGGCTCGGGCATGGCTTTGACCAACATGCACACTTGGGCGTAGCATCTCTGGCCGTCCCTGGACCTAAGCTGCACCCACGAGAACGCATGGTGTCCGTGATACCGAGGCACGGCCCGTACGTAGTGTGGTTGTAGCCTGCCCCCCCGGCTAGGGCTTTCCGGCACTGCCAAGGCCGTATGCACCTGCGGGACGTAGGTCGTGGTGTTAGTAAGAGATATTCATGCCATTGCACCATGCTCTCCAGCGAGGGCGCACATCCACTCACCCATGCCGGGAAGGCTAGGTAGCCACGGCGCCTCATCGTATCTGCGTACGCCCCCTGTGGAGAGTAGAACGAGAATGAATGACTAAGGAATGAAAGTGATACAAGTATGCAACCCTAGAATTGTGTACCCCATATGGGCTCTCCCACTAGAGCCTACACAACATTATAGTTTGACACACCCCCATAGGCAAAGTGGGGGAGAACAAGGGGTCACAAGACCAGTCAAGCAAAGCAAGCTCAGGGTGGATCACAAAGTCACCACACATTCCGAGCACAAGTTCAAGGCCACAAGGCCAGT